TAGGGATATACATATAAGGATGTTTATTGTATCATTTTGGGGGATGGCAAAAAATAAAACAAAAACACACCAGTTCGAACATCCCTCAATAGGAAAATAACTAAATAAATCATGATGTATGTATATGTGTGTGTGTGTCTATCCCTAGTATGGAATATTAGGTACTTTATAAAAAAGACTAAGTTAGAGCTATAGCTCCTAAAATAAACAAGTGTTCAGAATGTAGTGGTTAATGGAGAACAGTGGTAGATTAATATAAACAGTATGACTGTTTTATTAAAAACAAACACATAAGTAACTGGGAAAATGCCACGTATGAGTATGTCTGGATGATTATGAAGAAAGGTGTGGAGGGGTATAAAACAGGCCCTCACACTGGCTTCCACATCCTTATAACTTTTATGGCCACTTGGCATGTAAGGGAGTACATTGTCACAACAAAGTCTTTAATGATTTTTTTTTATTTTCGATTTTTTTTAAATATGAAGGGGTGGGGAGTTGTGAGGAGGGGTGTTCAGTTGCCTTGTTTGTTTTTGTTGAGACAGAGTCTCACTCTGCCACCCTGGCTAGAGTGCAGTGGTGTCACTGTAGCTGACTGCAGTCTCCAGCTCCTGGGGTCTAAGCGATCCTTCTGTCTGAGCCTCCCAGGTAGCTGGGATTACAGGCACATGCCGCAAGGCCTGGCTGGGTTTTTTTTTCTTTCTTTTTCGTGGAGCAGTGGTCTTGCTCTTGCTCAGGCTGGTCTCAAACTCCTGAGCTTAAGCGATCCTCCCGCCTCGGCCTCCCAGAGTGCTAGGATTTCAGGCGTGAGCCACCGCGCCTGGCCCACAACAAAGTCTTAATAAGTATCGGTGGGAAGGAGGAATTAGCCACCTTGTTTGGAAACAGAGGGGTTGCTGGGCAAAAAGGGGGAGAATACTGGCGTTTTCTTGACATATTTTTGTATTTTTTAACTGATTATGGTGAACATGTATTACTTTTGTAATCTTTGAAGAGGAATTGAATATATTTTTGGCGCAGTAGCAACTGTAAGGCGCTACATAAGAATGTATGAAGCCACTGAACTTTTACCCTGATATATTTGGATACTCACACTCAGCACCCCCTCTTAACACCGCCCTCTATGTCTAGTGGAAAAGGAATTTTTAAAAGACTCTTAGCTGAAGAACACAGATCTCTGGTAGATGGTAAAAGAATACACGGAGTAAATGTCAAATCAGCAGGAGAGAAGAGTGACACTTCAGGAATAGCACAGCAGCCAGATATTTGCCATTTACGCAGACGTTCAAAGGACAAATCGGCTTTCCTCACAAAGAACCTTGGATCTGAGGTGCTGGTCTCGCTTTGCTTGGTTCCCCAGTACTGCAGGCTGGGAGACAATGAATCCTTTACAAATCTTTCGATGTTTCTAATTCCAGGGAGAAATTCTACCTGATTCTGAATGTCACCTGACTGCAAGGTCGAAGCCACTTGCACAGGGCGGCTGTAAAAGAATAAGCCAATGGACAGCCCAACAAGACTCCACAGAGCCACAAGGAACAGCGATGTCCACATGTAAAGTGGCCACTCTCCTTTAAAACTGTGTGTGATTAATGCAAGATGTTTCCAGAATAGTTATAAAAACATGATATTTTTGTTCCTTGGGTTTAAATATAGTTTTGGTTTCCTTGGAAACTCAAACTGACATATATGCATGTAAACAGATGTACATATACACTGAGTATCGTGAATGGTATATTGCTAATTAAGTCCCATACAATGTTTGTCGGGAAAGTAAATGGGAAACATTTGAATGAGCATAACAAAGGACATCATTCCACAAGTACAGAGACACAATTTTTAGAATGATGCACTGTCTCTTAACAAGTGGGAGGTTTTCTTTTCCATGACTATTTCCATGGCTAGCATTTCAACTTTGTATTCTAGGAGGCATAGGACTGATAATGTGACTCAGGAAATATCAAAAAGCAAATTTCAGAAAAGAAACAATTTAATATCAACAATGAGTCAAGGCTCATCCGTGCTCTAAATCCTCAAGTGTCCTGTGTGGTCTTGAATTTATTCTTTGGGACTCAGATAATTCACAAAAGCTTCACATAGAAACAAAGGTCAGTTTCTCTCTGCCTACCATGCAGGAGCACCAGTGACAACCGAATACTGCCTCCCTGTCTAGGTCACCACCAAAGCCCCAACTCTTTGGCTTCATCCTGTACTCCTTGGAGGTGTTGGCAGGCAAGCGTGGGGACATTTAGTTCAACTAGAGACTCACTAATAGAGTTTTAAGAGAACTCCAGTGAACAAGAAGGAAATCCCTGAGGGCTCCCCAGCCTGTCCCAGTAGAGAGGAGCAAAGAGGGCGGGTACCCTGCAAATCTCCACTCTGTTGGCAGCCTCCTCCATTTCTTCCCTGAGGGCATCAGCTTTGGCACCTGCAGGCTGTAAGCTGCTGGACAAACCTGAAGACTTGGAAGTCTGCTGCCACCTGATAAAAAATAGAAGAAAAAGAGGAGAGATGTGAGACAGGTAGAGCCCTGGGGATATTGTGGGAACGCTGAGAAAATACCTGGCTACAAATATTACCCAGGGAACTCCACACCCTCACTGGAAAGGAGAGATGACGAAACGTACCAAGCACTATACCGGGAGAAAGGGGGCCCCGCCCTCCAATTTGCCACTGTTTTTCCTACTGTCTTGCAAACACTAAAGCCAAATGGCAATCACTACTGCCGTCTCTTTTACAACATTAATGTTTTTAATCTACAAATCATAATTATAGACATTTGTGGGGCATGATGTGATGTCTTGATATATATAGACCATGTGGAATGATTAAATCAAGCTAATTAACATATCCGTCACCTCACCTACTCATCATTTTTTATGGCGAGACATTTGAAATTTAATCTGGGTGACTACAGTTAATAATGATGTATTATATATTCCAAAATCGGTATTGCTGCCTCTTAAGCACAGTCTCTGTCTTTTGTTTTAAGTTCCCTGCCTATCCTGTGGGCATTTGAGTTTGGAAATAGTTGCCTGGTAGGCGGAAGCCAGTAATGTATGCTCAGCGAGAAGATATAGAGGTTGGACTTCAAACACATATGAAACCCAAAGTCTCCACTGGTGAGCACAAAACAACTTCAAATCAACATTTAGATACCTCACTTATATTTTCTTAAAAATTTATCTTTGTGGGGAGAGTGCTGGCCTTCTGAGGAAGCCACTCATAAAAATCTTTAGCAGGAAGTACAAATATTTCTGG